AAACCAATTGATAGTTCAAAGATTATTTTGGAAAATAACATCCCCCTGCCTTAGAAATGTCTAGACCAGTGTTTCTCAACCTTGTCAACTTGAAGATGTCTGGACTTTAACTCCCAGAATTCGCCAGCCAGCATTCGCTGGCTGGGGAATTCTGGGAGTTGAAATCCAGACATCTTCAAGTTGACAAGGTTGAGAAACACTGTCCTAGACCATGAACCACTACCGGGCCGGGGCGTGCCAGACTAGGCCACACAAACAAGTGAAGCCCCATTCACAGGATACAGGCATGGATCTGGTCTGCAGGAAAACCTCTCCCCATGGAACCGGTCCCTGATGCCAAAAGGCTTGAGGGCCACTGTGATAAGAGTAACCTCTTGACCGACAGAGAAAAACAAAAACTGGTTTCATAGATGTGTATGACAGCTTCAGGTTAGACCAGGTGATGGCAAATAACAAATATATCAAATTCGTGACATTTGATATATTAGCCAAGAGTCTGAAGAAAAGTTGCATAGAATGACAGCAAAACAAGGGCGGGAGCATAGAAAAAACCACGCGCGGACACACACACAAAATAAACACCTTATAACTGAGAAGGGTCTGTAAACCACATACTTAAACCTCCAGAAGGCTCACAATTTAATCACTAGCAACCTGAATTAAAAGGGGGGGAGATGATAAGACCTCTCTCCTGCATTTAGCAATATGGTGGAAGTGCCACGGCCTAAATCTCAAACACGCATCGTCACGGCAACGTCACCTGACATATTGGGACTTCCCCCCCTTTGTTAAACTGGGCCGGGGGGGGGGGGGACAGCCGGTGAGTTTGACACCCTTGGCCTAAAGGATCTGCTATGGTTGCAAGATTCCTGCTCGAAATCTTGGATTTGACAGTCCAATTTGGATTGGATTGTGCCTTAGATAAGCCCAAAGTCTTTCCTAGTTATCCCTTCCATGGTTTTATGAGTATCTGCCTTGGTCCTCTGCTGGCTGACCCAACGGGAGACCTTTGTAACCCTGTGATATGGGGAATGGAAGATAGCTTGCCACAAAAACAAGATTAAATGAGCCACGGTGGCGCAGTGGTTAGAGCGCAGTACTGCAGGCTACTTCTGCCGACTGCCGGCTGCCTGCAATTTGGCAGTATAAATCTCACCAGGCTCAAGGTTGATTCAGCCTTCCGTCCTTCTGAGGTCGGGAAAAGGAGGACCCAGATTGTTGGAGGCAAGATGCTGACTCTGCAAACCGCTTAGAGGGGGCTGTAAAAGCACTGGGAAGCGGGATATAAGTCTAAGCGCTGTTGCTAAATCTCACAATGGCAGGCTAGTACTTGGTTATGTTATCACACAGTTCCCTCCTTATGTGCACAAAAATTAATGGCCCAAAAGTACGTCTTCAATTATGACAAGATGGACACAATGGTTTTCTCTCACACGCTCATCGTCATACAACAATGCCCCTGACAGCAAACTTCTTAGTTGACAATGAAAGACTGTGTGGAAATAAGCGTTCATTTAAGGTCACGCTTATCGTTAATACTGCCTGAAAACCCTTTTGTTCTTTGCGGAAACCGCATGAAGTCGAAAGGCTGCAAGTAGAAACATGGAAAAAAAAAGGAGATTAGAGAAGAATTATGACATGGGAAATACACAAGCAACGGTGCGGAAAGGGGGAGGGGGGGAAACTGGCACACATTCATTGGCACCCCAGAGTTCAGGGCAGCCATTAGTAAACTACAGGTAGTCCTCGGCTTACGACCACAACGAATGCCCAAAATTCATGTGGCTAAGTGACAAATCCGGCAGCTCCGGCCCTTTGGAATGAACTCCCCGCGGAGATTCGGACCCTCACCTCTCTCCAGGCCTTCCGGAAA